ACCTACGGATGTTGGGAATCTTTGTTCCTCACTTTTGCCTCTTGCTATAATGGAGGGAGGTAGAATAACTAAGGCCTTTGAGCCATCTAGACTCAACACTTGGGAACTGCAGCTGCAGTTTCTTGTATCACTGTGATAAGAAGATAACCTGCTTCTTCATAGGTCAAAATCACTGGTATCTAGGTGCCACCAAGCAAAGAACATACAATAGACTAGGGGTGTGCACACTTCAGTCAGGCCTGTGACTGCAGCACAAGCAAACATGTTTGTGCTACCTCTTGTCAGTGTGGGTCATATCAGTGTAGCCCAGTGGTCTCCAACCTTTAAGTAAGAGATCACCTTTGGAATTTAAAAGCAAGCCAAGATCTACCATGTACCATCCCCTGCACCAACCAGCAGGTAAGTCTGGGCGGGGGAGCAGGCTGGGGCAGAGGGAGAAAAAAATTATTTGGGGACGTGCTAAGGGAAAGGGCAGATCAAGGCTCCAGACCTAGCCCCACATCCTCCCTCACCACTGGGGCCTTGATCTGCACCCCGCCTGCCCTGCCAACGATAGGGAGGGAGGAAGTGGGGCTGGAGTGGGGGGCACAGCCTGGGAGGGCATGGAGGATGTGTGCCCCTGGATCTACACACCGGCCAGGCTGGCTGCTGCTGTGAATTGGGACCAGGCTGTGCTCGGGCTGGCTGGTGGTAGCACTGGGAGCAGGGCTATGGGGGGTGGTGTAGGCACCCAAAAATTCACTGTAGCTGCTTTCCCAGCACCACCACCCAGCCTGAAAGCAGTGTGGCCCAGACCACCGCAGTGAAGAGCGTGGCACTGCCTTCCAGCCCCAGTCTGCTTCCCCCCTGCATAGAGCCCAGGGAGGAAGGGGAAGGGGAAGGTAGCACCGTGCTCTTCACGGCTGAGAGCTGAGCTGTGCTGCATTCAGGCCAGGCAGCAGTGCTGGGAGGGGGTGCTATGGGGGGCTACGGTACATTTTCAGGTGCCTGCAGCCCCACATAGCCCCACTCCCAGTGCCACCGCCACCCAGCCCAAGTGCAGCCCAGCCCCAGTGCGCCAGGGTGCAGATCCAGAGGCACATGGCCCCCATGTCCTCCTGGGCTGCGTACACCCCTCCCCGAACAAGCTGCTTATGGCTCTGTCCCATGCCCCAGCTGTGCAGAGCCTGCCCTTGCTCCAGCCCCACTCCCTCCCTCACCACTGCTGCAGCTGCCCACGCTGCCTGGCATTTAGGGGGGGTCACATGCCCCTTCATCTGTGAACAATGGAGGCACTTCCTGTTGCAGGCTGGGCTTTGAGCCTTGAGCCACACTGCGGCTGGCCTGGGAGCAGCCCCACACCACGTGTGTCCCACCACTGGGCTGTGCCTCGTCCCCTGCCTGCCCAGCAGCAGGACGCACATGGCACTGGGCTGCTCCCAGGCTGCAACTTAAAATCGACTCCAACAGTCTCCGAGATCAACTGGTCAATGGTGACCACGGTGACCACTGGTGTAGACATAGCAGTGTGGGCCTCAGCACTAGCTAGCAACCAGAGCATAGACCCAGGGTCCCCGTCCGACTTGAATCCACATTGCCTGTTGTCTTTTGAGTTCACCAGAATGAGCCAGTGTGGGTATACCTACATGTGGCTCATTCACACACCTCTGATTGCGGTGCAGACATGAGTTGGGTCTCTTGCCCCCTGCCAGCACAATTAACTAGGGTTAAGCCAATGGCTCTGGGGAAAAGAAGAGTAGAAGACCTTGCATTAGGAAAATTAACAAGCAGAGTGGCTCCACTGCTCAGAATAGGGTTAGACAACACAAAAGAATCTCTGATGCCTAAAATACATGACAGCCTCTGTTCTGACTGGCACCAGTGGTCCATCATTGTTGGGGTATGAGGGATCCAAATGTTCTTAATGAAATGTAGCCTAAGGGCCCAATTCTTCAGTGTATTGCATGCTGTTGAGTTGTTTGCAGCTGTTCAAGTTATGGGCAGATACTCACTAGCTTGCACAGAAATGTGGCTGCTCCAGGAGCAACTGCACCCTCAGAATATCAGGCTGTCATGCCATAGCAAGTGGAGGGCGAGTGGGGCAACTGCCCTGGGCGCCAAAGTGAAGGGGCATCAACAGGTGCTGCCCAGGAAGGGCATGGGATGGAGCCGTGAGTGGCTTATTTGGGGGGCTGCAGGGATGTGGGAAGGGTGGCTTCCACCAGTGCATACATTCCCAGGCAAGCATGTGGGGGACATGTGCCCCCCGGATCTGTGCACTGGGCAATGGCAGGCTGCCACTGCAGGCTTTGCTCCGGGTGCCAAACTTTGTTGCTACAGCACTGTCAGGCTGGCTCAAAAAGAGCACAGCTTGCTAGTTCAAGAGTAGTGCAGTGCTTCCTGCCCTGTACATCCAGAGCAAATCTCTTTGGCCACATGATTGCTTAATTATGGTTGATCACTGGCGGGTTTTGTTTTTTTTTTAATTGTTGGCTGCAGTGATGCAAGAAACAGGGCTGTATGCTGTTTGTGGGCAGTGCAACTTAACATGATACTGTCCCTATTTAATGTGATTCAATTTGGACAGCACCCAGATGCCACAGCAAAAGGCATATGAAACCAGAGATCTACCTGAAAAACGCTGTGATTTGTTTACTTAAATTCCTAATTCAAATTCAGTTTGAATGATAATTTTATTAATACAATACTTGAAGTATATGGCGTGTCCTCCCCAAAGGTGCAACTTGCAAATCAGCTTATTGAAAGCCAACTGTTTATTAGACTTTTCTAGGAGCCTCAAAGAACTTGGAGGAGCGAATAGCAGAGCTGAATCGTCAGAGTGCAGAAGCCCGTGGAAAACTGCTGCAGCTGATAGAACAGCAAAAATTGGCTAGTGTCAGCACAGTCTCTCCATCAATCTCTCCTATTCCACCACCACCCATAAATTGGACTGGTATGTATCCAGCACAAGAAAAGCTAAGATGATGCGTTTTAGCCCTTGTAATGTGGGAGTCCTCTATCTTTTGTTAACTCGATCAGTTGTTCCCAAACTGTGCACAACACAGCATTTAATGACCAACTGAGAGCTCTCAGGGCAGGTGGGTACAGGCTATCTCACTCACTGCTGCTAACCTTTGTTAGACTGCTAAAAACACCTCAACTCGAATTTGCTAAAGTTACTTTTCTGTGTAAGGCAGAAGGTAGAGCTGGGTGGCTAGAGACTAACTAGCTCAGGAAGGTTTGAGCTTTCATGGGCAACAGTCTATTTAATATGTCACTGTTACAGTCAGCCTGATTTATGGGTTGAGGACACAACTGAGCTTCTCCCACAGGTAGCAAGGGAATGCCTCATCCCAGTGAAGCTCCTGACAGTTATATTCTACCTAACCAGGCCTGGCTACAGAGCTGTTCTGAGGGAGATTCCACCACTTCATTTGTAATGTCTTAACAATCCTACTTCACAAATTTGCATTCTGACTCTTAGTTACGATCCAGTGGGGAGGTGTTTTGTGGGGTGATCTTCCCTGTGCTCTGGTTCCCCTGAAGAGGTGCTGCAAGGGCTGATAAATAGATACACAGAGGTAACTAAAAGTCTACAGCGCTCTTTTTGAGACAGTAAAGGGCTTATTCTTTATGCAGCTTAGGGTCTATGGACTGCTTACCATGGCTTTTTTAACAGAAAGAAAACAGAACGATTTAATCCTTTCTTGGAGTGGCTGAGTGCTAATGACAAGCAAAATAAGGAGAGGAAAAATGGTTATATGTACAAAGCACAGAAGGAGCATGAGGGTTAAAGAGTGTGTGTGTATGTTCAGGGAGCGTACCCGCAAATGAATGCAGTATGGGGCCTTGATGCAGAAACAGGGGCTGTAGCTACAATTGCAGTGTAAATCTAATAACTCAATATTCCAAATGAAGGAAATGGAAAAAAATAACAGCATAATACTGGAGCGGGCGAAACTTAAAATCAAGCCACATGCAGGAAAAAAATCAAACAAATAATGCTGCTAATGTTCCTGTTCCTTCACTAGAATTAAGTAATTTACTGTCTAGGAAATGCAAAGAGGACAATTGAGGTGTCTGTTCCAGTGGCAGAAGCTTGCAACAGCTCCAAAGAAGGCACTCCTTCCTCTGCCAGTGGGCCCAGTGCACAGAGGTGAAAACCAGTTTTTTATTATTTATCTGTGGTCAGCGTGAATGAAATACATGTACAAAACTGGTCATTTATGCAAACTGTTCAAATGCACTTTCACCATGTTCTCCCAGATTTGATTGCCGTGCCATGGCTTCAGCACAGTCTAATTGGGAGAGCTGGAAAGAGGGACTGTAACAGGATAACAAATGTCCTCTGACCTCAACCTCTCCTGGGAAACTCTGATCTTGCTGACTTCTTGTGGTTGAAATTAGATTGTTGACGTTTTCCTGGATATGGGGTAGAGGGAACTGCATTATTGAAGGGATGCAGAGAAACCCAGAATGCCAAAGCTTTGGGGAAGAATACAAGTCCATCTGGTTCCAGGACAAATGGGAAGAATCCCTCCCAAAGGAAAAATACTTTACATACATATTTGGGGAGAGGGAGACATGGGGAGCCAAGAGGAGCTTTTTCATCAGGTCAGGCATTCACCTCTTTGGGGAGGGAGACAGGGGGATTTGATGGTGGTTACCCTGCATCTATGAGCCAGAAGAGGGTGGGGGTAGATCAAAGGACCACTTTGTTTTCTGCTCCACCTAAACTCTAAAACCAAGTGCTTGGGAGTAGCAGTAGCACTTCTATTCAGGCAGCACTGAGGAGGTCAATTGACTTTATGGTTTATTATAATTACCTGATTCCTACTAATCTCTTTTCACTCCCTCTTTTCCCTGATTCCCTCAATCTCTTTTCACTGACCCTCTCTTCTTTTTAATGGTCTTGATGTTCCACTGTTCAAACTACCCTTTCATCTGCAATTATGCTGTCTGTTAGCCATTTCTGATATACTGTCTCTTCTATTTCACAGCTCTGCAGACTGTTTTTAGTTTTGACTAAAAAACTTATCAGGTGTGGTAATATTAAAAATGACTGACAGTGAAGTATTAGAGGCACCGTCAAGAAGTCTAGATTTTGTTTAGAATCTGAATAAGAACTGTACATTTAACTGTAGTGACAACAAAACTAATGAAGCAATATCTTTTGATTATTTTCACAAATTTTAGCCTAGCTTTTATGGGTTTTTTAACTTAATATATATTTGCTAGCAAATTTAGTGTACATTCCAATAAAGTTGCATTTGTTTTTGCTTTTATTTTAAATGGAATAATATAGTGCTAAACCCCTAGCATATTAGGAAAGCTTATAGTTTCTGTTTAACTGTAGAAAAATATGCTGTGTTATCTGTGGTGATGTACCATGCCATCTGTACCCCCTTTTTAAAAATTTCAGATCTGCTTATGGAGTAACTGTTCTGGGCATGATGCAACATAAGCCAACTGCACTAGTTGCTGATCCCTGCCTAAATAGTACCCAACAAGGGGTTGTTTAGCCTGCTGTTAAAAACTTAAAATGGTGGCAAGCTCTCTAGTCATCCGTTCTAATGCTTGACCATGGTCATATTAACAAAGTTTTTCTCAATATCCAATCTAAACTCCCTTGTTTCAATGCAAGACAGTTATTGTCCTGTCCCATTCAAGCACAGAAAACATTGTTTCAGGTATTTGACTGTTAATAAATCTCCCCTCAGGCTTCTCTTCCCGAAGATAGGAATATCTGTTCTTTTTGTCCTTGTTTTCCGTATGTCATGTTTCCTAGATCGCCACTCTTTCAAGTGGACTCTTTCTTGTTTGCCTGCCGTAGACACTTCAGAAATGTTCGTGACAGTGATTAACATGTTTTGCTGGAAGCTGTTTGCTTTGGTTAGTTGATGCAGAGGTCTTTGACCTTGCCATAGTATTCACTTCCTCTTTCTTTCTCCACCTTCTATATATTTTAGAACTTCAGCTGCCTCTAGTAAGGCCTGTTCACCATTAAGCACCTCTTCAGGAAGTGTGAGATTAACTCCTGTCAATCAGAGGCCAAAGGTAAGACTGATATTTGACCGCATGTCAAAATAATCTTCAATCCAAGGGCATTCACTGCTATGGTCAGTGTATATAATGAAGAATATAGATGGACGATGTAGGCTGGATTTTGCTCTCTTTATACCAGGGTAAAGGCAAAGAGGTCAGTAATTGCTATATTTACCTGAATCCAAGACCACTCTAAATTTAAGATGACCCTCCCACCTGCCCCCATAATTAGATTTTAGATGTGGAAAATGTATATAGTCATTATAATTTTCCACACACAGACTCTAATTATTGGAGGGTAATCTTAAACTTGTCCCCCCCAACCCCACTGCTACAGCAGAAAGGCAGTGAGAGGGTGGGAGGACAGGCAGTAGGGGAGGCAGTAGGGAGGGGTCAAGCAGTTTGACCCTTGCCCCATGCTGTCTGTTTTCCTCCCACCCCACTTGTCCCCATGTGCCTGCTCCTCCCCCACCTCTACCTTCTCTGCTTGCCCGTCCATCCTACCCCACACATACCCTTGTTCTGCTCCAGCAGGTTCAGGACACATTCCAGTCTGGGGCACAGAGCAGGGCCACAGCCTTGCCCTGTAGCAGTGACACCAAGGTAGCAGCTCTGGCCCCAGGGCCTGCTGGAGCTGCTGCCATCACCACCACTGCTGCTAGTGAGCCAGGCTGAGTCCAGAGCAAGCGCATGCTCTGTGCCCCAGGCTGGAGTGGAGCCAAAGCCTGCTGGAGCAGAGCACAAGTAAGCAGGGGGCAGAGGGGAAGATGGAAGAAGAGATAGGGGGGACCAAAGCTGTTGGGGGGCAGGCAGCCCTGATCATGAGTTGGAGCCAGAGCCTCAACAGCTGGCTGCCCTGTCATGCCTCATACACAGATCCAAGATGAGGGGCTTCCCCAACATGTTCAGTGGAGAGGGGGGACCTCATCTTGGATTGCAGTAAATACTGTACACTGATTAATAACAGACCAGAGTCTGAACAACATGCAGAAGGATCTCTCACAGTGCAATAATGAAACCAGTCCCTTGATCTGAAACACTGTACAATTACAGATGAAGTAATACTGTGACCAAATCTTCCCAGAGGGTGTTTGGACTCAATACTGTACTCTGCAGAAGCGGAAGCCTTTGGCATTCTTCAGGAGGAGCAGCCAGTGGCTGAAAGAGCAAGGCAAGGTTTCAAGTGAGGCTTGGGATGCACTGGCAGGGCCATGCATTAGGTAGCTGGCAGGCTTGAATAGAGCTTTCTTGCCCTTTGTAGGTACTTGCTTGCACAAATGCTTGAAAAACCTACAGGATATTTGTCAGATTCTACATTTCCAGTGTCCTGATTAGGGTGAGGCTCTTCTCTTCTTCTGCCAAACTTGGAAGTTTTGAAAAACCCCTCCACAGAGCAGTGCTGTCATGTGGGCCATCTGCAGAAAAGGCTTTGTATTCTTGGGAAGTGTCCATAGTGGAGGGGTGTGTTACAAAGCAGCTGCCACCAATGTGGAATTAAGTATTAAGTAGAAATTGGTAATAACTGATGAGACTGTGAGTCAAGAGATGCCATAGTCTCGTCTCTGCTCTCTTCAGCAGGTGGAGAAGGAAAGAGAAGAAGGCTGGTTTGCACTAGCAACACACTTCTTGTAAGAGAGGATGAATTGCACATATCCTATTTTATTTTTAAATTATTTTTTGGAGACTACCATGACATCCCTCCCCAAGGCTGTAAGACCAAAGTATCCACCTGTCAGTGCCATTTGTATAGAGATCCAGCTCTTGTGTCTGTGTCCTCCTTCAAACTAATGCAGTCATAAGTACAGGCTTGAGAATGGGACGTTCAGATGGACAGTAGGATGTTATCTTCTAGTTCCTGTTGGATGATAAAGGGCTATACCTGCCCCTCAGCACACATCTGAAATTACATTATATATGCTAAAGAAAGAGGCTTCTGGAGAAGATACCTTCCATGGCCATCTCTGATGCATGTATTGATACAAAGGTAACCAGGATTGAGGATTGACTGTGTGTGCACATGTGCATCAAACAGCCTTGATCACCATTGGTGAACTAGTCTGTCGCATGACTGGATACACGTGCATTAGAAAGAAACCATTTTTGATATGCTGCATGTGGTGAATGGTTTGTGGAAGTTCATATTCTTGTATAAAGACAGTCCTCTAATTAAATAGTTGTGACTGATAAATCAACTGTATAAACAAGACCACGGTGATGCTTCAATTTTTGACACCTATATGCTAGTACACATAAGTGCCCAGTCTTACTGCTTCTCTGTCACAGTGAGTAGCCTCACTCTGAACTGAGCCTCAGCAAGATTTTCCTTAAAATGAGGGAAATGCTTAAGAGCGAAATCCATTTTTTCCAGAGTCCCCAGCCAGTTCTCAACACTCCGCATAAAGAAGGCCTTCATGCCATAGACCTATTTTCATTTCCCAAGGCAAAGAAAACATTTTTCTGAGAGTCCTTTGGTCCTGCAACTCTTTTTCTGTGTGGACTTCTTGCTACCCCCATCAGGTCTGACTTCAAAGCCAGAGAATCTTGTGAAATGGAGCACAAGAGCTAGAAGCAAAGGAAGTACATTCTTCTCAGTGAACACAGAAGATACCATTTAAAATGATTATGAATATTTCTTTGTAACAGGAAATCCTCCATTCTGGTATTCCCCTCCCTCTCTCCCTCCCTCCCTCCCTGCACAGAGTTTGTGTTTCTAGTTTTGAAAAACTTTGGACAGTTGAACTTTAGGGTTGCAGAGTGCTCACAGGAACAGATGGTTAACTGAGTATCTGCTTCCCCTGCCCTCAGTGGTGTGGTTAGCCCATTAGTGATGACTTGAAATTTCCCTCTTTTTACAAAGATACTTACAGTAAGTTGAAAAGGTCACTTTGAAGTTGAAACCTGAGTTTCTCTACTTGCTTTTTTTTTTTACACCCTCCAGACCGCCAATCTCTTTGATACCACAGTGTTCTATGTTAAATTGTTCTGCATGTGTGCATTATCTAGGGGTTGCCATATGATATTGTGTACATTTTATATGGTACTTTTTAACCTAGCAATCATTCATGAGTGATTAAAGAATTTTATTAATATTGGTATTTTTCCCTTTTTTTTAACTCCTTTTAATTTACAGTTTTACCTTTTGAGGTTGAAATTTTCCATGCTTGGGGTGTCTACCCAGAAAACATTTATTTTGTTGGAAAGTGCAAGAAAACACTTTTCAGCTGTGTGAGGTTTAGAAGAATGGAAAAAACCTTACTCATAAATTTAAAAAAATAGTTAAAAAAAAAAAAAAAGAAGATTCCATTAAACTAGCCCAGTTTCTAAGTCTGATATTTGGTAGTCCTTCAGTCTTTGTGCTGTGCAGCATTTTGATTTCGTTGTTAAGACTGTCAGAATATCCACTCAGGCTGACGCAAAACGAGGAATGCTGAGTCTTAAACAACAGCGTATGCTATAGATAGCTGCATATCCAAGCACACCCACATGGGCACTATTTTTGAATGGTTCCAGAATATTTCATACAGTATAAATGTTCTACAGGGCCCATTAATGAAGGAGGTATGCTGGAGTGGGGGAGGGGGTCACTGCTGACTTATTCTGTTCCTTATTCATGAGCCTAGTCTCTTATTTATAAATGTGAGACTGGAAAGAATCTCCTGGGTCAGAAAATCCAACCCTTATCTTGAAAGCAGCCCCACTGTAAAATTCCCTGCATAGAATGAGTCATCTAACCCTGCTCTGGGTGGGTCTAAAAACACTTTGATTTTTTTTAAAAATGCCCAAGGAGCAAGTTTCTTGGTGAAACCCAGCCCCCTTGAAGTTGATCAAAACACCTCTGTTGGGCTTTGGAGGGCTCAAAAATTATCAGATAGATTGTGTATCTCTACCACGGTGTCAGAATTGGTAGGACGTCCAGGGATGTACTCAGCAGCTGCTTTATTCCAGCTGACACAAGGTGGATCCTGCAACTGGATCTAGATAACTGAAAATTTGAAACTTCACTTGTGTTGGCAGATGTGCTGTTTCTGGAATTTAGAAGAACTGTGCTAAACTTTGTTGAAACTCCTTGTGACAGGATAAGGCTATTGTTGTGTGGTATGTAAATTGTCCTTATGTGCCAAGGGTTGGGGGCAAGACTGAGCAAGCAGCACTTGCTTCTCAGTCATTGCTTCTAGGTCATGCAGTAAAGTGAAGCTGTTGCCATTAGCACATTCATCTTAACTTTCTGTGGACTGCAGTGGTGGTACAGGGAGATGGCTACGATTGATATAGATTCTTTTGACTTGTGGGATAAGTCAGGGAAGACTCAGTCTACCACAAGGTGGCGGGGGAGCAGAGGGTATGTTACATTTAGTGTAAATGTTTTCTCTTGGCAGCAGGTTTCTGTTTCTTTCCTGATAAGATGCAAAAAAAAGTTTCCCTTTTTTTCCAGGCCTTTCAGCTTCCTCCTTTTTGTCTTAAGTGCAGCATTCAGCACAATGCCAAGCCACAGTAAGCATAAAACCAGAAACTGACAGGCTCAAAGACAGGCTGCAGTTCCCCTGCTTACTTTGCTTCCATCTGCTATTGTCAATTTTATTTGGTTGGAAAATGCAGCTATTAGGAAATTTAGCAAAGGAGCTCCATGGCAAAACATTAACTTCAGCTAAGATTTGTCAGTTCTCTGACCGGAAGATGTCATTCCAAATGGACTAAGTTTCTTGTTGATTTTGGGGGGACGGAAACAAAAATGTTTTTCTTTCTTGTTTTTTACCCATTCCCTTTTCCAGCTGAAAAGGTTGGAAAAAATGTTTTATTAAAAAGGAGCAGTGGGGCATGTTTCTGCTTCTGTAACACTACATTACCTTTAGAAGTAGGGGGTAGGGAGAAATAGGGGTCAAAGTAAGAAGGGAAGGGCATCAGAAATCCAGAAACAAAAGACTTCTGGCTTTTTAGTTTCAGTTTTCAGAAACTCGACTAACATTAATGTGGACCTTTTGCTTTTATAAATATAAAGGTTAAATGAGGTGAAATGACATCTTGAAACAATATTTTCCATTCTGCTATAAAAATGACCTCCAACAACCCTAATTTTAATTTTTCAGTTGGGAAGATATCAATGGGAAATCTCTCTCTTATTTTTTAGCAGTGCAAACTCCCTGACTGGTTCTGCTGGGAAGGAGGCAGTTTCTCCTCCAGCATTTACTATTAATTAGGGATTTCAGGGCAACATTTTCAAGAAAGTTGATATCACCTTTTCATACTCCCAGAAATGGGTGAGGCCACTGCCAAGGTGCCTCATCCTTTTATAGATATAAAAAACAAAGCAGTGGGTCTCTACCCTGCAGTCTGAAGAATCAATGGCCATATAGGGTATGTAGAGGTAGACTATTGGGTCTCAACCTTTGGCACCTTTTGGAAAACACCAGCTCTTAGCTTTCACTTGTTTTTAACTACTGAAAAATAATAAAGCAATGCTGTTTCAAAGAACTCAGAAAGACCACAATAGGTCAAGCTGTCTCTGGCAGTATGGATTCCTATCTGAAATCTCTGGATTTATTTTGTGAACCATGTGTAGCTGTTTGCACCCCTGACAACCTTAAAAGATTATCAGAGAATCTCAGGGTGCCATGGCATCCTGGTTAAAGAATCACTGGGGTGGTAGACACACAGGGGCAAGCAGGGATGCGAACCAAAAAATAGATCTAATTTAAGGCCTTTTCTGAAGACATTATAAGGAGGGAGAGGGAGGTGGAGCATCCTGAGACCCTAGAATATAGGCATAAATACTAGATGGAAGTTTTCAACATACTGCATTTCATAAATAAAATGAGCAGTAGCTTATAAATCCCAGAAAAGTTGAACGCTTTAGACATCACTATTGCAAAACACTCTCAGGTGGGCTTTTTAAAGCATCCCAAGGGAATTAGTCACCAAGATCTCATTAAAGTCTAACGGAATTGCATGCTTCGCTCCCTTGAACAACGCAGCCCTCAGCAGCTCAGCAAAACAGGTCTTGGGTAATAAGACAACCAAACAGTTCTGTGGCAATGAAATCTCAGACATGGTATTTCTAACAGGTCTTCTGAGTGTCCAGTTCCTGTATTTAGATACTCAAATCAGCAGTTACATGCATAACACTAGCATTTATAAATGATGTAATAATACATGATTTAGATAGACCCTTTATTATAGGACCTTCACTTGGATCCTTCTAATGTAAACAAGCCCAGCTTTCATAGGTTCACTTGCAGCATTATCAGACACAGCTTGCTGAGTGCCTTTGAACTGAAAACTAGTCCGGTAGTATCCAAAAACAATTACTTTGTACAAATGAGCTAAACAAGCCTGTGCAGACACTGCAGGGTTTTTCTTCTAGACCACACCCATCCTGTTGTGAGGCAACAGCTTTAATTTTTCACTCCATTATTAAATGGTCAAGATACCATCAACTTCAAGCCTGTCAGAGAAACAAAGTTATGTGTATGGGCATGCCCCCAGAGGTGGATGGATGTGCTGACCCATTTGTGTGCACATGTTGCCTGGAAAATGCCAGTTTAAGCATGTACAAAAATTGGTATTTCACCAAGCATCCTGCTTTGTGGTCATTTTATTTTAAAGGCTCTTCAGTTTGTTTTACTTGGAGGGAGGGGGTGAGGATGGACACATTCTACAAAGTGGGGGCTAAAAGAGAAGCTGAAAGACTGCTATGTGGAAGTGATGGTTATCTCCGAATAGTAGGGATCATACATGAGTTGGTATCTCCTTTCTGAATAAGGAAAAGAGGAGCATTCAGTGAGGGCAGGTGGACCAGATGCCTTGAAACTACAGGTTGCAAGTAGGCAGCTATGAGAGAGCTCCTGCCCCAGTGTCCAAAGGGTCCTGTATTTCATCTGTGGTATAGCATGGGCTCATCAACCAGGAGTTTGGGGTTTGTTGAATAAAACTTGAGGAAGCACCTTGAAGCTCAGTGTTTTATGCATGCAACTTTCTAGCATTTCTGCTCCTAATATCCTGCCTGAAGCTTTTAGCAATACCAGGTATAAGGGTTTTCACCTTCCAAGGGTAGGAGGCCCCCCAGCACAGGGCTGCACTGACAGGTGGCTGACCACCATGTCTGTTCACAGGTAGGAAGTTAAGTTACAGATGATGAAGATGCAGTGGGGGACACACCTAAAAACCTCCAGATAAGGGAGAAACTGCCCTAGGTCTCATTTGCATCCAAGATGGAACCAGATGACAGCTCATTTAAATGGGAGGTGGAGAACAGAAAGCTGGAAGCAAAGACCGCAGTGAATTCTGGGATCAGAGAAGCCGGGGAGCACTGCATGATGGGGAATCTGTGCTCCAAATGCTGATCAACCCACATGTACACACACCCAGTTCCGCATTTATCAGGCCAATTCTAATCTGGATTTACAAAAGTATTCCCTGCCCCCCCACACACACACGCACACCTCATCTAACCAGAACTAAGCAGAAGTAAAGTTTACTAGGCATCTTGGGCAGTACATTCCCCAGTCCCACTATGGGAGGCCTATTTAAACTTGAATGACTAAAACTCAGTTGCCGGGTTAGGGAATGCTGAGGCAAGAGGCCAACTCAGAGTGGGTATGGGCAACATTTGAACAATGTTAAAGGGTTCATCACAGCGTCCAGCCTGTTGGAGCCCTGACCACAAATGCTGTCGTACTTTTCCCGAGATGACTGGTGGAAGACCTCCCCACAAAGTTTATGAACACTCCAAGTAATCCCTTTTAGCAAGATCTGGAAAAGTCATGCTAAGCTGAGGTTTGTTCACAACAGGTAAACATCCAAAACCTGATCCTGCAAGCTATTGTTTCTGAAGAAACAATGAAGTATCCTATCCAGTATATCTGCTATCCATAAGAATTTCAAGCTGTCTCCTAAGTGTCTGGTTACTCCTTAAAAACTTATGTTTTTCCTGGTTGTTAATCAATTTCTTGAGATGTTCCAAACCAGATAACCCCTTGTCAATAGAATTATTTACGCTATTAAAAGAATGCTTTGAAGAAGCTGAGATCTGGTTGTCACACCAGATGACAAAGCTAACCTATTTAACAATTTCTTTGCCTCCATTTTCCTGAGCAG